GGTGCAACACCACACCCAAGTGTTTTGATTTTGATTTGCAGTACTGGGGAATCAAAGCCAGGGATGCTCTCTCACTGAGCTTTATCCCCATCCCTTTTAAAATTTTGAGACAGAGTTTTCCTAAATATTTACCGTAGGCTGAGTTCAAACTAGCAATTCTTCTGCCTGGCAGAGTTCTGGGATTTTTTCCAACAAGGACTTAACTCTGAAATTTATGCTTTTACTATTATAGTATGGTGCCTGGAATAAGTTTTGTACAAAACAGTTTGTATTATCACTGTTTTAGGATGATACAATCAAACATAAAATAATATGGTTCAATTAGAAAATATTAGCATAGTGGCACACGCCTGTAATCCCATCACTCGGGAGGCTGAGGCAGGAGGATTGTTGCGAGTTCAAGACCAGCTTGGGCTACAAAGTGAGCTCATAGCCAGCCTGAACTGCATAGCAAGACCCTGTCTCAAAAACACACAAAAAAATAAGACAAGAAGAAATGAGGTTAACAGCAAACAGAGTTAAAGATGAAGATGTACCTAAGCTGAGGTAGCCGGAAGTGTGGTACCAGATCCTGAACTGAACTGGGCCTTGGAGAAAAGATCAGAAGGGAAGCAACACCGATGTGCTTCCCGTAACATACTGTGTATGTGTTGCCTCACGTCATCCCACACATCCTGTGACGGAAGCTTCGTTCTCTCCATTTCCCAAGGGGAAACTGAAGACTAGAGAGGTTAAATTATTCGCCCAAATCCCCACCCCTGAGCGTTGAGCTGAGACAGAAACCCACCTGTGCCGGGCATGATGGCCCATGCTTGTAATCCCAGCACTCGGGAGGCTGAGGCAGGAGGATTGCTGCGAGTTTGAAATCAGCCTGGGCTACATAGTGAGCTCAAGGTCAGCCTGAACTGCATCACGAGACCCTGTCTCAAAAAAAAAAAAGAAAAGAAACCCACAAGTCTCTTCTACTCAGATTGGTGGAAGGACAGCTAGGGTATTCTGGGTAGAGAGGAGCGAAGGGACCAAGGAGGGAGGCAGGAACAAGCAAGATGCTTGTGCGCAAGGGTAAATAGCCTGGCATCTGGCCTTCCGTCCTCCTCAGAGGGTAGGGCTTCCTAGGCGGCTCTGCCCACTGCAGAGGATTGCAACAGTGAGGTAGGGAAGGGGCTCTGGGGTTCCTGGAAGGTGACTGAGGCCCATTAGCCTGGCACTGTGCCACTGCGTGACCAACCCTAGCCCCACCCAGCAGTGCTGGGATGAAGAGCTGCGGCATGAGGCCCAGTTCCTGGAAGTCCAGCCACCCACAAGGTGCAGCTCGTCTCGATCCCCCCAGATCAGGCTGCCTACTGGCTTCAGCCCTGTCTCAAGCATTTCTCCACCAGAGTCTGGCCCCCAGGAAGGGGGTTCTGAGTTCCTCAAGCCCAGAGGACTCTGACCTCCAGGGATATTCATCTCTTTTTTTTTATTTTTATTTTTTTCAGACAGGGTCTCGCTCTGTAATTCAGGCTGGCTTTGAACTCCATATGTAGTCCAGGCTGACCTCAAACTGGTGACAATCCTCCATGGCAGTTCTCCATGGCATTCCTCCTGCCTCAGCCTCCTGAGTGCTAGGATTATAACCATTTGCTACAACACCTGGCCTATTCATCTTCTAATAATAATAGGTTAACTATTTTTTTAGGTTAACTATTATATTATATTATACTATATTTTGCAGTGTTGGGGATTCTTGAGGTTCTTGTGGTATCTCAAGAACGTTGGGCAAGGGGTTTACCACTGAGGAAACCTCAGCCCCATGATCTCATTTATGTCTCCAGCATATTTACTAAATAGGTATACCCTCATTATCTCCATTTTTCAGGTGAGGGATAAAGCTCAGAAGGGTTGGGTGGCTCAAGACTACACCTCTCATAAATGCCAGGACCCAAACCCAGCTCTTTTTTTTTTTTTTTTTTTTTCATTATTGGGGACTAAACCCAGGGGCTTCACGCTGAGCTACATCAACAGCCCTTTTTATTTTTTACTTTGAGGAAAGGTCTTGCTAAATTGCCCAGGCTGGGCTGGAACCTGGGATCCTTCTGCTTCAACCTCCCAGAGTGCTGCAATTACAGGCATGCACCACCACCCCCAGCTCCGATTTCTCTTTCTAGATTTAGAAGTAAGCCCCAGAGGGGCTGGGGATTTAGCTCAGCGGCACAGCGCCTGCCTGGCAAGCACAAGGTCCTGAGTTTGATTCCCAGTACCGGAAAAAAAACAAAACAAAACAAAATAAAAAAATAGAAGTAAGCCTCAGGTGCTATTTCTTCTGGGATAGTTTAGACTCAGCTCCCAGGTGTCACCTATTTGGTATCAGTGCCAGGCTTCTTCTTCTTCTTTTTCTTTTGAGATAGGGTCTCACTTTATAGTTCAGCCTGGCCTTGAACTCACTATGTAGCCCAGGCTGGCCTTGAACTCATGATGATCCTCCTGCCTCCAGACTACTGGGATTACCAGTGTGCATTACCATGCCTGGCCAATGTGCCAGGCTCTTTGAACAGCACAGGACTCTTAGATACCAGAGTCTGAGGAACCTCAGTTCTACCAGCTCCCTTAAAAACCCCAAACTCACTGGGTGTGGTGGCGCATGCCTGTAATCCCAGCACTCAGGAGGCTGAGGCAGGAGGATCATTGCAAGTTCAAGACCAGCCTGGGCTACAAAGTGAGCCCAAGGCCAGCCTGAGCTGCATAGCGAGACCCTGTCTCAAAAAGCACCCCCAAAAAATAAAAAATAAAAAAAATTAAAAAAAAAAAACAAACTCTTCTGGCCTGAACGTGGAGCTCAGTCTCCTCTCACCTCCTGGGTCAACTGTCTAAGAATTCTTTTTTTGTGGTGCTGAGAATTAAATTCAGGGCCTTGTACATGCAAGGCAAGAACTCTAGCACTGAGCTACATCCCAAGCCCCAATTGTCTAAAAATTCTCTCTCTCTCTTTTTTTTTTGTCTTTTTGAGACAGGGTCTCGCTGTGCAGTTCAGGCTGGCTTTGAGCTCATTTTGTAGCCCAGGCTGGTCTCGAACTCCCAACGATCCTCCTGCCTCAGCCTCTCGGAGTGCTGGGATTACTTGGCTAAAAATTCTTATCTGAAGAAAGAAATCTCCCTAAAGATCTGAGTATGGTGGTACACACCTGTAATCCCAGCACTCCTGAGGTTTAGACAGCAAGATCACCAGGAGTTTGAGGCCAGCCTGGACTTGAACCCAGTATGTGCCCAGGCAGGCCTCATATTCATGGTGATCCTCCTTCCTCAGCCTCTCCAGTACTGGGATTACCGGCATGGACTACCATGCCCAGCCTCAAAGACTTTTTAAAAAGTCCTATCCTGAGGCGGAGGAGGAAGGAGAAGGGGACTTAAAAAAAACAGAATTAAGATCTATGTCATGTACATGTATCAAGTCCTCACCATGAATGTAATCATCATGTACTACAAATGTACTAATAAAAAATAATAAAATAAAGCCTGGCGTGGTGGCACACGCCTGTACTTCTAGCACTCGGGAAGCTGAGGCAGAAGGATCTTTGTGAGTTCGAGAACAGCCTGGGCTACAAAGTGAGCTCAAGCCCAGGCTGAACTGCACAGTGAGACCCTGTCTCACAAAGACATAAATAAATAAATAAATAAATAAATAAAATAGTTTAAGCACACTTTGTGGACCAGCCAAAAAAAAAAACAAAGTCCTATCCTGCTGGCCATAGGGGCACACGCCTGTAATTCCACCATTTGGGAGGTTTAGGCAGGAGGATCTCTGAGAGTTTCAGGCCAGCCTGAGCTCCATAGAGAGTCAAGGCCAGGCTGAACTGCATAGGGAGACTCTGTTTCAAAAAGAAAAAAAAGAGGCCGGGCGTGGTGGCACACACCTGTAATCCCAGCACTTGGGAGGCTGAGGCAGGAGAATTGTTGGGAGTTCGAGACCAGCCTGGGCTACAAAGTGAGCTCAAGGCCAGCCCAAACTGCATAGCGAGACCCTGTCTCCAAAAGACCAAAAAAAAAAGACCCATCGTTACCCAACCTGGACCACAAGGAGAAATAAGTGGATATAGGGCTTTGCCCTCTGGGGCTCAGCTCAGTCCTCTCCTCCTTTGCTCTAGGAAGAGGGGCTTCGGCATTCCCTGGCCCAGACCTCCCCAGCACCTCCCCCATCCGGGCAACTGCCTGGCTCTGCTGCCTAGGATAACGCCCGGCCCTCCCTCGCCTCCTGTGGCTGCCTCCCCTTTCCGTCTGTTGAGAGAGGAAGCCAGGGGGTGGCGGGTGCAGCTCTGTGGGGGACTGATAAAGAGCCAGCGCTATCCCCGCCCTCTGGGGCCACTGCGGTCAGACCAGTAGGCAAGCCGGAGACGCAGCAGCTCCCTCTGGGACCTGGGGCCTCCCCTGGTTCCACCTCTACCCACCCCATCCTCGTCTTCTCGGGAAGCTGGTTGCATAACCCGGTGGTGGGGTGTTTGGCAACCTCCCTGTGGCTTGACCCGATGCTGCTGCCTTGGTGTACACACACGTTGCGGGGGTGAGGGCGGGAGCAGGCTGGCCGGGAGTGACAACAAGTTAGCCTCGCAGGGGGCAGGTGAGCAGCATAGGTAGGGAGTGACAGGGTGGTAAAGCTATGCGGCCACGTCTTTCTGTGTTTTCTGCCTCTGCTGCCTCTGTTGAAGTGAGAGCCTTTGAGGGTTAGGAACATCATGGGTGTCACTGGTTTGAGAAGCCACGCACGCTACTGTCCAGCCCATTCAGGCTGAAACCCAGCTAGTGCCCTACGCGTTGTAAATCAATCCAAGGAGATTTAAAGTGGGAGGGTATCAACACGGGGCTTTGCAAGCCGAGGGCCGGAAGGAGCGTTCTGTAGACGCAGTCTGGGAGCCAGCAAAGACCTCTTTCTGCAGAAGGGGTGTGAGGCCGCGAGGTGGGAGGGACACCTCAGCTAGCCAGATGCCTCTGTGACGCCCGTCTGCTCACCTAGATCACCCTGCATCACCATGTCGGTCCCCACAGGTAGGCAGTCAGGGACTTCAAACACTTCTATGAATCCCACTTGCTTTGGGGATAGAATGTACTTTCCCTAGCTTGGTTTTCAACATTTCACCCTAGTCAAATTTTCTAGCTTTAGTCCTGTGTGGTGGTGAGCGCCTGAAATCCCAGCGCTTGGGAAGCTGAGGCAGAAGGATCACAAATTCAGACCCAGTCTGGGCAATTTAGCAATTTAGTGAGAGCCGGTCTCAATATAAATAAAAAGGGCTGGTGATGTACTCAGCGTAAAGGCCCTGGGTTCAATCCTTAATACTGAGAAAAAAATCAAGGCTTTTATTTTTTTTTTCTCTTCTGTGTGCTTAGGATGCAATGAAGGGTCGCACATGTGCTAGGGAAATACTCTTCGACCTGAATGTGATCCCCTGCTACCCTGGGAGTGAGGCTATGAACCATGTGGCATTCATCTTTGTGCTGCTGGAATGTAAGACCTAGTAGACACTCAATAGCTTTGTGGAATGAATGAATGATAAGGCTTGTGTTATCTGCAGTTGTATCTACAACGCCATACAGTGTCCTGAACTGGTGTTCTCATTCAATGAATGTTTGTTACTGTCTGTAACCTGATATCATTGTATAATCAGCCACAAGTGTGACTCACCACTGTTCATCCCCTCTGAGGGGCCCAAAGGAGTATCTGAAGGCCCATGTGTGTGACCCAGATTCAAGTCCAGGTCTTAGGAGATTTTGAGCGCACATGTAACACACAGTGCAGTCACTGGATTGCTTCCTGTCCAACATAAATCATGTGTGTACAGTCATCTCCCAGGGTAGAGTTGGAATTCAAAGCATTTACCCATGGGTTTGGCACGGGCATTGATTAATCCCAGCACAAGCCTACATAGGAGGCTCCTTTCGGTATCAAAGCAGCCTCTTTACGTGCATGGTTGTGTTGCGGGGTTTGGGGGTTCACAGGGGAAAAGTGGGGCAGCCCGGGTAGCAGTGATGTGATCCAAGAACACCTGGAGGACTCACAGCTGCTCATCAGCTGGGACAGAAGATTTGCCAGTATTTAACAGTGAATACAGGGGCTGGGGATATAGCTCAGCAGCACAGTACCTGCCTGGCAAGCATGAGGTTGTGAGTTCGATTCCCAGTAACAACAACAACAAAAAAAACAAAAAGCAGTGAACACAATCCCATCAGAATATGCAGCCTGAAGGCCAGTTCTGCCCTGGGGTGGCACCTGTCTGCTTCTCCAGTCTTTTTTTTTTTTTGGCTTTTTGAGACACGCTCTCTCTGTGTAGTTCAGGTTGAATTTGAACTCATGCAGGTCCTCCTGCCTCAGCCTCCCAAGTGCCGGGAATAGAGGTGTGTGCCACCACGCCTGGCTTCACCAGTCCATCAGGAGAGGAAGAGTAGAGAAAAAGTGGAAGGGTTGAAGGAAGACACATGGAGGACTTGTCTTAGAGCTGAAAGCTACTAAAAGCTGGGAGGGAGGTAGGAAGGAAGATGCGTTCCTCAGCCGTGAGAGAGATCTCTTCGGTCCTGTCACTTTGAGGAAAGGTGATGAGGGAGATGCTTCTGGGTAAACTCTGGCCTGATGCAGACTCGCGATTAGCCTGAGTCCTACTCAAGCGACCAGGCTTACCCAGGGTGCACAGCTGACATGTGGCTGGCCGCTTTGCCTAGGAGAAAGGACACAGGGTCTCCTTTAAGGGAGATGAATAATCTCCCTACTGGGCAGCCCCCTACCCAATTCCCTTCACACACTACTGACAAAAGGGAAAAAAAAAAAAAAAAACACACCTGGCCAAGAAAGAAGCCTTTGTTTTAGAACATCTGAGGCCGAGGGGGAAGGGAGAAGGCTACAGGTGAAAGGACACATCAAAGCAGTGCATGGCTCCTCCTCCCCAAAATCGCTCCTGTAGCCTGTCCCCAGGGTCCAGGCATGTCCTGAATGTCCACTTGCCTAAACACTTGAGAAGCCACACACCAGGTCCTTAACTTCCTGCCTGCCACCTTGCCATTGACTCAGTTTCCCTGTCCCTAAGAGAGCCACGGGGGCAGCAAAGGAGGCTACAACTGTATAAAATCTAGAGGTCGCTTTTGAGTGTACCGTCAGGTTGGGATTCATCCTGTGCACGGGGGTGTCGCAGAGCTGGCTGGACCCCGGGCTCCAAGAGGGCCGGGAGCGGCCTGGAGCCCTGGGTGTCCCCGCTGGCCAGGAGCGAGGTGGGGGCGGGGTGTGGGCAGAAACCACACCGGGCTCAAGTTTCCTCTCTTGGCCAGAAGGGGCAGGAGGAGGAGGAGGGCCACAGGGAAAGAGGAGGGTAGCAGGAAGAGCAGAGAACTGAGGCCGAGCGCTCAGGGCAGGGCTGGTGCTTGCTTGGGGCTCCTGCACTCAGCCGCGCCGGAGCCGCCACTCTGAGCCCAGCGATGGTCCGGGGGCGGGGCTCGGGCCTCGCGGCTTCTCAGAGGTAGCAGGATCCCTGGCCCGGGAGGTGTCAGCTCTAACCCGACCTCTCCAGACACGACATCGGGAGCCTCATCTCTCTCCGCACCCTGCTTGGACTGTGCAACAGGTGCCTGAAAGACGGGTGGGGGGCTCGATGGGGGGAGGGTGGTCCCGGTGGGACCCAAGGGGAGGTGGAGGGCAGAAATAACCAACTTTCAGAATATTTGTAGGAGACCTTCCCAGAGTGCCCCTGGTTTAGGAATTTGACATCTTTGCCAAATCCTCTGGGAGGAGACCTAGAAGGCTTCTTGGGTGTTCTGGGATCCTTGGGGTGGGACCGTGCGGATGCGGACAGCAGAGTGGCACCCTAAGGATCCTTGAGGGTCTGTGGAGGGCCAGGAGGAAGCTTTCAGCTGCAGGGCTGCCCTGGAGGAGGCAAAGGGCTCCCCAGTATATGCTACCACATTTCTCCTACCCGCTCTCGTTCTGCTGCTTTGTCCAGCCAGCTGGGGCGATTTAGGGGAAACTGAGGAATGCGAGTCTGGAGTCTGAGAAGTGTTGCTACAGCAGGATGAAGTGGTTGGGGGGTTGTTGCTGGTTCTCTTCTCTGGGCCCCCGGGGACTAGCGAGCCCTGGAACTGCAAGGAAGAAGGCACCCCTACCCCCAGTACCCTTCCCACTGGAGCTGGTGGCTGCTGGGCGATAGGAGGCCGGGCTGCACTGGAGGAGCAGAGAGGAGGTACCAGATCTGCTGGGGTGGGAGTCTGCAGTCACTGACCCCAAAGGACTGTAGTCTGGGGTCTAGGGAGAACGACAGAACCCCAGAAACTTGTCCCCTGCTCCCTGGTTCCCACACATGCTTGAGTCACACATGCACCCAGAGAACTGAGCTCGCTCTGCTCAAATCTCTTCCCTTTTCCTTCATCTTGTGTACTTCTCTGTCACCTCGTAAGCCTCTCCCACTTTGGGAGTGCTCCCTGATCTTTCTAATGAGGTTGCTCACTTGTCAATCTACACCCCAAGTGTCACCGAGCCTTCCCTATCCATCCCCTGTCTACACTGACGCCTGGAGAGGTGGGGCAGTCTAATAAGCCTCCACGTAGGACCCTAAGGCAGGCCTCCTCTCTACGGTTCCCCTTTGCCAGGAAAGTTAAGAACCCTGGGACATTGTGGAGGACAAATGTTGTCCTCTCCCTAGATTCCCTTGCCAGTGATTCTGTATTCCTAAGCACAAAGTTCTGTATCATTCTATAAGTACTTAGGGATTGTAAGAAGATCTTTTTGGTGGTCTAGGGGTATAGTTAAGCAGTAGAATGCTTGCCTAGCATCTAGCATGACCCAGGTTTGATTCCCATCACCAAAAAACAAAACAAAACAACAACAAAAAATAGCTTTCTGAGTAAGACTCAGCATGCATACAAGTGAGGAAGATTTGGTTTGTTTGTTTTTTTTTGTTTGTTTGTTTTTAGTTTTTTTTGAGACAGGGTCTCGCTGTGTAGTTTAGACTGGCCTCGAACTCACTATGTAGCCCAGGCTAGCCTCAAACTTGCAGTAATCCTCCTGCCTCAGCCTCCTGAATGCTAAGATAACAGATGTTCACCACCACACGTGGCTGATGGGGATGTATTTTAGTTCCTGGAGATGGCACCAGTTCTAACTGATCTGTAATGTTGAGGAGTAAGGGAAGGAGAAGGAATAGCCAAGCCCATGGAGTAAGGTTGTTGTGTGACCTTAAAATGCAGGCTAAACTGTAAAATGGGAGCTGCTCATTTGCACTTTCCCAGCTTCTCCCCAGGTTCTGGGCCCCTGTGGTGTTCTGTTTGACCCAATTCTGAGTGTACTCTCCCCCTCACCTACCCCACTGGTACCGGCTCACTGGTCTTTTGAAAGGCAGGTGCCAAAAACACAAGGGTGTAGGGCCTTTGTCCTAGTGTAGGACCACTACCACTCATCCCTGGCATCTGGGGAAGTTGTCTCCCCATGCCCTCTGCGGCCTGCTGCAACTCGCTGCTGTACCAGAAAGCTGGCAGCGTGGTCCAGAGGCTCTCAAAGCTTTCTCCCTCAGCCTCCCCCTACTCCCCTCTCACGTTCTCACTTTCCTGTCCCTGGGAGAGCGGGGACTGAGCTCCAGCCCTTCAAGAGAAAGGGCTGATGTCTAGGCTCAGAGACAGGCTGGAGGCCAGTGTTGCCCTGTTGAAAGCCTGAAGAAGCTTAGAGAACATGCCTTGATCTCCATGCTGGCTTCGTGTTCGTCCCTGTAAATGCGTACAGATGGACTGGTCTAGTGGTTTTCAAGGTGCGGCTGGCCAGGTGCATCAGTCAGCAGGGTGCTCATTGAAATGCTGGCTCCCTGGTACCTGCTCTATGAATTCAGTTCAGCAGGGATGGAAAGCCCTTTGCCCAACGTTATGCAGTATCTTGAAGGCCAAAGAACTGGGTCTTCAGCTTCCTGGGGCAGGATCTTTGCACAGCACCTTAGAGTCAGATCCGGGAAGATAGGAGAGAGAGAAGAGGGGCGGGGCGGGGGAAGAGCTATGAAGCAAGAGTCGTGGTCCCTGCCCCCCAAACTCCTTCTCCATTCACTTTGCCTTTTGGGCAATTTCCGCCAGAACCTGGGTGGGGACGGTGGGGTTCCGGTGTTGAAATGGACATACATAAACACCCCACCCACTCTGCCCACTGGCCGAGGGCTTGTGCCAACACCGATTGTCGGTTCTGGAGATGGCACCGTAACAGAGGGGTGGGGCAGGGGCACAGGGAGATCCTCTTTCAAAAGGATGATTTGTAGCTCCCTTTAATTTTGTAATAATTCCAGAAGTATATTCCATGTTGTAGAGCCCCAGTGGGCCCTCTTTCTGGGGGGTCTGAAGTCATGCAGTCTGAGACCTTGAAGTCCTATTCTCTGTCCTTCTATGCATTTCCTTCACCCGTAGCCTTTGTCTCTTTCTGTACTTACTTGGTTTGGTGAAGCATGTGGAGTGTGTGCATGTGTGTGTGCATGCGTGTGTGTGAATGTGTTGTGTGTTTGACCCTAAAGATACCAGGAGGAGCTGGGCATGGTGGC